TGGATAGTTAGATAGATAGTTAGATAGATAGTTAGATGGATGGATAGATAGTTAGATAGATAGATAGTTAGATAGATGGATAGATAGATAGTTAGATAGTTAGATAGATAGATAGATAGTTAGATAGTTAGATATAGATAGATAGACAGATGGATAGTTAGATAGATAGTTAGATAGATAGATGGATAGTTAGATAGATAAGACAGATAGATGGATAGTTAGATAGATAGTTAGATAGATAGTTAGATAGATAGATAGATAGTTAGATAGATAGTTAGATGGATAGTTAGATAGATAGATAGTTAGATAGATAGTTAGATGGATGGATAGATAGTTAGATAGATAGATAGTTAGATGGATGGATAGATAGTTAGATAGATACATAGATAGATAGATAGATAGATAGATAGATAGTTAGATAGATACATAGATAGATAGATAGTTAGATGGATGGATAGATAGTTAGATAGATAGACAGATAGATGGATAGTTAGATAGATAGTTAGATAGATAGATAGATAGATAGATAGATAGTTAGATAGATAGATAGATAGATAGATAGATAGATGGATAGATAGTTAGATAGTTAGATATAGATAGATAGACAGATGGATAGTTAGATAGATGGATAGATAGATAGACAGATAGATAGATAGTTAGATAGATAGATAGTTAGATAGTTAGATATAGATAGATAGACAGATGGATAGTTAGATAGATGGATAGATAGATAGACAGATAGATAGATAGTTAGATAGATGGATAGTTAGATAGATAGACAGATAGATAGTTAGACAGATGGATAGTTAGATAGATGGATAGATAGTTAGATAGATGAGAATCAGAATCAGAAACAGGTTTATTACCAGGTAGGTTTACACGTACGAGGAATTTGACTTGGTGTCATGGTGCATACATAAAAGGTAAAACAATTAATAACACAGAGAGAACTAGAAAAACATTAAAAAGCTCAATGATTGTGTGAACTGTAATTCCTGTGACTAGTCTTCGAGTACAATAAAGTTTTGAGGTTTGAAATCATTTTAAAATCCATTGAGAGCATTCAACAACTCAAACAGTCATTTAATAAAGACCGTTTTGAGTGGCAGCATAATATAACCATAATAAATGTGGAAATGAGAATATATAAAATGTTGACAAAAGATTATTCTGACTGAAGTTAATATAACCCTTCACTGCTTATCTTTCTAAAGCTACCTCTTGTGTTGCTGGAGGTCATGATTCAGAATCACTGTGCTTATAGCCATAATATGACTCAAAACATTTCCAGAGATGCTAATGGCTTCAACGCTCCCTTAATAACGCAGTGCTCTCACCTGTGGCCTTTAGTCGGGGTTTGGGGCTCTTCTTCTCCTTCTTCTCCGGCCTTCCCCTTCGGATCACCTTCTTGCCCTTCTTCTTGGAGCGACCGTAATCGCTGTCATCGTCGTCCTCCACCGTGACGTCCCTCGTCGCTGCCAGACTCGTTCAGCTGCACAAAGAAATGTTCACGTAAGGATGTTTTCTCCACGTGTGGTTTAGCTCTGTACCATTGTTGAAACCATAACAGCAAATAGCACATAGTAGAATATATATTTATTGTCACCATACAAAGTACAACGAAATAGAAACTCTCACTGCAGTAAAAATAGACACAAATAAATAAATAATAAATAAGGGTGGTAAAAAGCAGAGGTAGTAGCGATGACAGTGCACTGAGATCAATTCAATGTCAATGTGCATATTTACACTTGCAGTCTTAAACGTGTATACATGTAGGTTCATTTAATTACATTACATTACATGTTATGTTACTTGTTAGACGCTTTTATCCCAAAGCGACTTACATACTCGGTACTCTGGGCAATCCCCAAAGGAGCAATTTGGGGTGAAGTGTCTCAGGGGACACAACGACATGCTGACTGCAGTGGGACTCAAACTTGCTATCCTCTGATTCAAAGATCAGCGCACTAACCCACTGCGCCACACGCCTTAATGGTTATAGTAACCGAAGGATGCAAGTCTAATAGTCATAAATATTTCTAAACAGTAGTGTCTGAAGCTTTGACCATTTCCAATAAATAATTCGTTCAAATAATGTGAGTTTGTTCAGTGGCAAGATCTATTTCAAATTGAGTATAGAAAGTGATGTCATGGAGCTGTTGCTTTAAGAGCTTTCCTTACAGCTTTGTCGGCTGATCACTACACCATTTTATAAATAATAATAATAATACACTTTATTGGTGGCACAAGCAGAGTTGCAAAGGGCTTTCACGGAAAAAAACAGAGCACCTTTAAAACACACAAGGAATAAAAAGTGTCCAGGAGAGAAAGTCCCTCTGGAAGTACATTTGGGATTTTAGTCTTTGCAGATTTACATGCACAAGAACCTAGAAAACAAACTACAGTAGAGGAAAAACCCCCAAAAGCACAATAGGGCCTCTTTAGAGAGAGATAAGATAAGAACTTTATTGATCCCAATTTGGGAAATGTTTGTGTTGCAGCCGCACAGAAAGACATGGCACAATACAAATTCAAAGAAACTAACAAGAAAGTAGAAAATATACAAATGAACAATAACAAGATACAAGCAAGTTATTATATATACATAAGTATGTGAGAGATGGAATATTACATATTAAACTTAATATATAAATGTAAAATGTAATGTCTTTATGAATCTGACAACATTAAAGGTGGGGTAGGTCATTTTGAAAAAACCAGCTCGAGTGCGCTAGAATTTGAAAATACACAGCCGGAAAAAATCTGCCCCTTCCTTCAGACTTCCTTACAGAGCCCCTCCTCCAACACACACGAACGTGCACATGACCAATGAGGGCACGAGATAAGTTTGTGCACAGATGGAAGGCTGACAGGCAGGTAGGCCATCCAGTTATTTTAGCCGGGCCGGCTCAGATGATTGGTCGTGCTTTTTACAGCGCCACGGCTTCCACAGATGAAATATTTGTATGTATTTATTGTCAAAGCATTTCATATATTCATTGCTATCGGGATGTTAAGAGCATTCCATGGAATATAACAAAAAGTGTTTCTGAAATAAATTACATACCCCACCTTTAAGTACATGCTAGATAGAATGGGAGGGATGAAACCCTCTTTAATGGTCTCACATACAGTGAGATGTGTTCTCTGCTTTTAACCCATCCCAGTAGGAGCAGTGGGCAGCTATTGTACATCTTAGTTTTGGTTCCTAAGAAACACACACTACTGGTTTAGAGCGTGACAGTTTTGGTGTATCAGTATTAACAGCAGGGGGACATACGGCCGTTGTAGCATCTTTAAAAACACACAAAGAATAAAAAGTGTTCTGGAGAGAAACTCCCTCTGGAAGTACATTTGGGATTTTAGTCTTTGCAGATTCACATGTTACCTAGAAAACACACTACAGTAAAGGGAAAACCCCAAAAAGCATAATATGGCCCTCTTTAATGTCTGTATGAATCTGCCGACATTAACCACATGTTGTTCTGGTTGCTACAGTAAACACACAAAAACAAGCGCATGAGGACCTTTTCTCCCGAGCGGTTCAGCAGTCTAAATCAGTCATTCTTTAAACTTCGGTAACACTTTATATTAAAAAAGGTACACACATTCACCATCAACTAATGTTTAATTAAGATTCATATAGCAGTTATATTGGGCTTTTTATTAGTCATTATAAAAACACTTATTATTGTCTTGTTCTACATGAAACATATTCTACAAGTATTAGGCCATTAGCTAGAGTTTTTCCTCAATAACCCTCTAATTAGTTTATTTATTGTAAGTAAGGACGTTGTTGTACATGAGTTTTGGTCTTAAGCTCAATATGGGTTTAATAAGGCAGCAGTAGTACCACAAGAATAGTCATTCTCCATAATAACACCAAACAAATATGGCCTATTCTTATGTAACAAGACATGAAACTACGAGTGTTAATTGTGTCAAAATAACTTAAAATGTGGTATTTTCTAACTCAGATTACGTGCACTAATAAGATAGTAGTTTGGCTCTAATATGCATGTTAATTAACAACTAGTTGATGTGAATATGTGTACCTTAATCTAAAGTGGTACCGCAACTTCTTATGCTACATGTCCAACAGTAAAACACACACTAGTCTAGAGTGTGTGTCTGTTTGGTGTATCAGTGTTAACAGTACTAGTCTAGTGTGTGTGTCAGTTTGGTGTATCAGTGTTAACACTACTAGTCTAGAGTGTGTGACAGGTTGGTGTATCAGTGTTAACAGTACTAGTCTAGAGTGTGTGACAGGTTGGTGTATCAGTGTTAACACTACTAGTCTAGAGTGTGTGACAGGTTGGTGTATCAGTGTTAACAGTACTAGTCTAGAGTGTGTGACAGGTTGGTGTATCAGTGTTAACAGTACTAGTCTAGAGTGTGTGACAGGTTGGTGTATCAGTGTTAACACTACTAGTCTAGAGTGTGTGACAGGTTGGTGTATCAGTGTTAACAGTACTAGTCTAGTGTGTGACAGTTTGGTGTATCAGTGTTAACAGTACTAGTCTAGAGTGTGTGACAGGTTGGTGTATCAGTGTTAACACTACTAGTCTAGAGTGTGTGACAGGTTGGTGTATCAGTGTTAACAGTACTAGTCTAGTGTGTGACAGTTTGGTGTATCAGTGTTAACAGTACTAGTCTAGTGTGTGTGACAGTTTGGTGTATCAGTGTTAACAGTACTAGTCTAGTGTGTGACAGTTTGGTGTATCAGTGTTAACACTACTAGTCTAGTGTGTGACAGGTTGGTGTATCAGTGTTAACACTACTAGTCTAGTGTGTGACAGTTTGGTGTATCAGTGTTAACACTACTAGTCTAGTGTGTGACAGGTTGGTGTATCAGTGTTAACACTACTAGTCTAGTGTGTGACAGTTTGGTGTATCAGTGTTAACACTACTAGTCTAGTGTGTGACAGTTTGGTGTATCAGTGTTAACACTACTAGTCTAGTGTGTGACAGTTTGGTGTATCAGTGTTAACAGTACTAGTCTAGAGTGTGTGACAGGTTGGTGTATCAGTGTTAACACTACTAGTCTAGAGTGTGTGACAGGTTGGTGTATCAGTGTTAACAGTACTAGTCTAGTGTGTGACAGTTTGGTGTATCAGTGTTAACAGTACTAGTCTAGAGTGTGTGACAGGTTGGTGTATCAGTGTTAACAGTACTAGTCTAGTGTGTGACAGTTTGGTGTATCAGTGTTAACACTACTAGTCTAGTGTGTGACAGGTTGGTGTATCAGTGTTAACACTACTAGTCTAGTGTGTGACAGTTTGGTGTATCAGTGTTAACACTACTAGTCTAGTGTGTGACAGGTTGGTGTATCAGTGTTAACACTACTAGTCTAGTGTGTAACAGTTTGGTGTATCAGTGTTAACAGTACTAGTCTAGTGTGTGACAGTTTGGTGTATCAGTGTTAACACTACTAGTCTAGTGTGTGACAGTTTGGTGTATCAGTGTTAACAGTACTAGTCTAGAGTGTGTGACAGTTTGGTGTATCAGTGTTAACAGTACTAGTCTAGTGTGTGACAGGTTGGTGTATCAGTGTTAACAGCAGGGGTACATACGGTCGTTGTAGGCCTCCTCCTGGTCCTCCTTCTCCTCGTCCTCGCTGCCTGCGTCTCCCAGAATGATCTCCCTCTGTTTGGACACCGCCTTGGAGGCCGCCTGGCGCACGGTACGCTTTCGACTCACTTCCTTCTCATCGTCACTGTCATCTACGCAAAGAACACACACACACACACACACACACACACACACACACACACACACACACACACACACACACACACACACACACACACACACACACACACACACACACACACACACACACACACACACACACACACAACACACACACACCACACACACACTACACACACACACACACACACACACACACACACACACACACACACACACACCACACACACACCACACACCACAACACACACACACAACACACACACACACAACACACACAACACACACACACACAACACACACACAACACACACACACACATCACACCACACACACACTACACACACACACACACACACACACACACACACACACACACACACACACACACACACACACACACACACACACACACACAGGGGTTCAAAATACATTCACAACAGAACAAGACCAGCAGTGAACGGAGAGGACTCGATATACAGTGCTAAATTCAGGGTTACTTTAAAATGTAATCCTTTACAATTATTTAGTTACATGTTAAAAAACATCACCTGTAATCTGAGTATCACAATATAACAGTAACCTGATTACTTTCCATCATTAGGCTACCAACCATATAAAAATGCTGCTCAAATAAATACAGACGTAATGATAGAGAAGCAGCAGATTCTCACTTTAAAAAACAGCTGGAGATATTTGACATTTGTGCTGGGGTGAATATCAAACTTGTTACTGGGGGATTTTTCTGTCTGCTCCACCTCACATATTTAGACTTCCTATATGGACTTTTCACTGCTTTTAAATTCACACTAACTACACATCCGGAAGTAAAGTACGATCTACTTTTGACAACTAGTTCCCATCCGTTTAACTATAGCTGCTTTTCTGGAATGCATCATTAACTGACATATATTGATCATATTCTGTGCCTACGACCAAACTACAGCATCTAATCCACCCCAACACCTACAGGGAGCAGATAATAGATGTATATTAATACAAACCGTTTGAACTATCACCCCGATTGATCACAAAAGATGCCATAGTGTCAATGTCTTTACGAGTTGATCAGCCTTATTAACCATGACTTCCACTGAGTATTAAATCAAAGCAGAACGAAACAGACTTGAGAATCAATCGGCCGTGGATGTGGGAGGAATACAGTATTTCTCAGATACTCAAAAGATCAATATCCATGGCATCTATTCCACACCGTACTCCCTTTCCGGCCTTCAAAAAGCCCAGAGCCAGAATACATATCATCTGGCTGCAAAAAAGCAAAAGCCTCCACAAAGTTTTGACTTATTTTATTAGCCACGGTCCTATTTCTTATATTTGAAATCTACAAATGCTGTTTAGGTTCAACACATTAAAGGTCCCCTATTATACTGTTTCTCATCAATATATTACAGGTCTCAGATATATACAAAACCTGTCTCTGAAGTGTTTGGCTCCAAACACCAAACAGATCATTGCAGCATCCCATAATCCCCACTGTTTCAGCCCTGTTTCAAAAGTGCTGATTCTCTGTCTGTTACTTTAGATGAAAATAAGGAGCCCCTCCCCACGCCCCTCTGAGAGATATTTGGTTAAAAAGAGCACAATGGTGCTCTAGGAGGAGATTCAGGTGATAAGGTGGGGGGGGGGGGGTTACCTTGGTTGGTGATTGGCTAATGGTTACACAAGCCAATCAATCGTTATGACATCATAAAGTGGCCAAAATCTGATCAGCTTGTTTTCAGACAGGTTTTTATATAAATGGATCAGGACAAAGAGAGAGAGAATCTTTGTTCCTGAAACTTTCAGAATCTCTTTACACAGAGGGGACACATGTTGATGTAGAAGAGACATGAAGAAGAGGGGACACATGTTGATGTAGAGAGACATGAAGAAGAGGGGACACATGTTGATGTAGAAGAGACATGAAGAAGAGGGGACCACATGTTGATGTAGAAGAGACATGAAGAAGAGGGGACACATGTTGATGTAAGAAGAGGACATGAAGAAGAGGGGACACATGTTGATGTAGAAGAGGGGACACATGTTGATGTAGAAGAGACATGAGGAAGAGGGGACACATGTTGATGTAGAAGACACATTGAAGAAGAGGGACACATGTTGATGTAGAAGAGACATGAAGAAGAGGGGACACATGTTGATGTAGAAGAGACATGAAGAAGAGGGGACACATGTTGATGTAGAAGAGACATGAAGAAGAGGGGACACATGTTGATGTAGGAAATGTAGAAGAGACATGTGATAGAAGACATAAGGGGACACGTGTTGATGTAGAAGAGACATGAAGAAGAGGATTTTGCATAATAGGTGACCTTTAAAAAGGGGTAAATTAAATGGTTGAGCCCTTACGAGAACTTTTAATGTTGTATTTGTCTTAATGAGATCACTATAAAAAATCTGTGTGCCACATATGACAGCATACACCCTGTATCTGGTGCATCAAGAAAAGAGCAGCTAACCACGATACGTACGGCTCATCAGTCACCAGGTGTTAGCCACAGTTTTTAAGATGTTCAGGTGGATATGTAGAGGAAATGAACTGGATGTTACCTGCAGGCCGTTTTTTCTCTTCGGCCCTCTCTTGGCGGGCTTCTCAACCTTCGCTTTCTTTCCCTTTTTGCCTTTTTTTTCTTCATAGTCACTTCCTCCGTCCTCATCCGTTCCTTCCTCCTCTGCGAATTCGTTGTCTTCCTCGTTGCTGCCAAAGTCATCTGCAGCAGAGAGAAGTCAGTGAGCCGCTTTCCACATAATCACTTTCCAGCTGTTTCCATAAAAAAAAAAGGGCCCGAGCGATTACTACTCATCTCAAATCGAAAAAGTAAATAAACTGACTTACCTGCTGAGTCATTTTTGGGTTTAGTGACTTTCTCGTCAGACTCCTCGCTGGAAAAAAAATACGAGAAATGTCAACCAGAGTGAAAACACTCAAACAAGCAAGGAAAGGATCTGGACCAGGAACCAATCAGAGCAGACCTCTGCAGAGTTGCTGTTTGGAGGCAGTGTGGTGAAGCTATCTGAGGCTCATGCTAACTCTAAGCTAGCATCTTGGATCTGGGAAGCAGCTGCTCAGTTAATGTAGGCTGAGAGTCAGAAAGGAGGACTTTAATTGCAACAAAATCAATACAACAGTGCTCTGCTGTTCTGTAAGAGCAACACTCTTCTATTTTCAGCATTAGAGCGGTAAATGAGCAGCTTAAAACGGAGCTAGCGACAGTAAATCAGAAACAGGTTTATTACCAGGTAGGTTAACACATACAGGGAATTTCAAATGTTAGTATGTATGCTAATTGTTTTATATAGAAAATCCAGTCAAGAGAATACAATTGTGTTATTGTTGAAGGCTATTTGAACTGTGAGATACTTCAACACATCTAGCCTAATTGAATTAATGTCATCAAATGGAGCTGTTTGCTGCGTGTTGTAGTGGTGGAAATGCTACACATTTTTAAGGATGAATTAGTTTATCATTAAAGTAACTTGGTGCGTTCTTGATCTGTTCTTTTAACTCCCAATGCTGCTGATTTCGCATTGAACAGGATGTCATGTAAGGTTCTCGAAGGAAAACATTTCCAACGTATGCAGTTGATTATTAGAGAAAGAATTCTGCTAAAAAAAAGTTCATCATTTACAGAGAGGTAGAGGTTACAACAGCACACACAGCTGAACACAGGGAATGTTTCTCTTAGCTTTCTCTTTGGTCTAAAGCACAGACACAAGTTCAGCTGCTGCAGGACACGGCAGTTTAGCTATATCTCAGATTTTAGGCTGAACTGGAAACGCATGTCACCCCTGCTCGGCTAAAGTGAACTGACCTCGGTCCAGGGAAAAACCGCTATAAGATTTCAGAAAGCTATAACATAATGAGTTGCATCCATGATGGATTGGATGCAGCTCTGCTCCTTCTCCCAGTTTCCTCCAGCTGAGTTTCTTTCTCTCTGCAGCTCAACATCCAATATTTCTCTGCCTGAAACGGCTCTAGCGCACCTGGCTGCCTCCCTCGCTAAACATGTATTTGATCAACGACCCTCTCCTCTTGACCTCATAAAGACTTCCTTCCACCCCAGCCTTATTGCACATGCCACACTTTATCATGGTGTCATTAAAGGGATCCTGTCATGCATGTTTCATCACTTTACTTCTCTCATACTGCCTGTGATGCGCCACATCTTTTCACCCTCCGTCTGAAACCAGAGCCAAGTTTGCTCTGATTGGTTTGCTTTTAATGCTGCTTTAAATTCTATTTTGAGATGTTTAAATTCCAGTCTTGTTTATTTCTACTTATGTGCAATGTCTTGTTTTGTTGTTTTTCAGGTTGCTGCAACGCAAACATTTATATTTTTCCATTGTTTTCATCCTGGTCACTGTGACGTAACGACGACCCAAATGGACCACTCCGCGGAGCCGTTACGCTACGTCCGCGGAGCCGTTATGTTCCTCACACACACACACACTCGGCGGGACGTTGCGAGGCTCGCTGCTGCGAGGAGCGGGACAGTGTGAGCTGGCTCACTGGTGTGGGGTCAGCGAGACGCAGCGGAACTCAGCCTGAGCACACACACACACCCGCAGCCTGGCTGTGAGTCTTTGTGTGTGCTCACACAGACTCACAGCATCCCGCCATCTCAGGCTGAGAAATCCACGGAGCTGCAGCTGAGAAAAGATTGAACACGGCACCCAGACCCCACGCAGCATTCTAATCTGTATGTCATTTTCTGGTTGCTAACAAACGCCGTTGTAATACATAAACACACATCAGAGCACAGTGGGCTCACAGGGAGGGGGGGGTCAGGAGCTCCAACAAGGCGTTTAGGACAGAGAGTGAATACACATACTATACAGAGATGCTGTATGAGAAACCAATGTGAGTTTGGAAAATTGCACAATATAAATCTATTCTAGTAGACCTCAACAATGGAATTATGATCAGAGGAAATGGCCATGACATGGGACCTTTAAAGTAATACCTGGTGTATGTCACAGGGTTCATAGATATATGTTGATGTGTGTTACATGTTTACAGTTCACAGATATATAGCGATGCTCACCTGTCATCCTGTGAGTTCTTTACGCGTTTGTGCTTGGGCTCACGTGGGGGGGCACGCACCTTCTTAGGCTTATTCTCCCCATACTCCTCATCTACACAGAAAAGACAAGGTTACAGTTTTACAGTTGCAGGCATTCACATACAAGGACATGTTAGCTGTTCATCAGACAAACAAGTTATACATTATTTCTGTTATCGGATTCTCAATAGGATGGAAAATGGATTAAGGTGCCAAATTAGCTGAGAGCATACATACTGTTTATCCACTAATCTCTCACTAGATTTGCCAGTAACTGCATTGAATTACAACATACAGTACAAGTATATCACTGCAAGATATCATAATACCACATGTATTGAAACACATCTCTTACCTGCATCAGACTCGTTTGAATTGTGAGTAGTTCACCACTTTCCTGTTCCTGCGAAGAGAGATGACACATTGTGTTACGTTTCATTCACACAGGACAAAATTACTTCTGTTTCTAGACACTGCTGGAGGGGGTAGGCAGCAAAAAGATGACCAATATGAGCAAGTCATCAGCAACAAGTTAGCTGTGAGTGCATGTGTGGATTTTATAATGCTGCCTGAGAAGCCACAAAGCTTCGGGCGGTGAACTGGACACTGGGACACTTCTACAGTTTCCGAGGCTAATTTAGCAAAGTATATATGCAGGAAGCCTCAGGTGACAGTAGCCAACTTCAGTTCAGGTAACACACACCTGGAGAAGCTGCGTCGGGGGAGGTTAAAGCCACATATGAACCATCCATCATCCAATTTATGCATGTATATATCTATATTTTATGTATTCATGGTGTTTGATTATAGCCCATCGTTAGCTTTTGAATTCTGGCAATTAAAATTACACTTCAAAAATCACAAAGTGGTGTTATTAATATGAGCTGAAATAAACGTGACAAGTAACGAGTGTTTGCCACAAGGCTTATTTTCTGCAATATACGGAAATCCAATGGAAGAATCCCATTGCTTTTTATTGAGGGAATCGTTGCAATGCTTACTTCAACATCATCCTACAAAATGAAGTTATCGCCGCACCATTAAATTATTGTTGGCAGGACTGGTTGCTCAATGCTTGACAATACCCGTGGATACCTTATAACAAGAAGCTTAGGTGCTTTACTGGGCGCACAAACAAAAAGGGTAAAATGTGCTAAATAATCTACAAGTTACATTACTGTATGTCCCAACCCCATTATGCTGGTGTGTGTGTGTGTGTGTGTGTGTGTGTGTAACTGTCAGAACATTTTACAACTACTTTGGTTACAGCAAACACACACCGACCACAGTGTAAGCCTCAGACATGTGTGATAGTCAGTGGCAGTCTTACACACATTTTCTTTCACATCAGAAGGAAACACACCATGTTTCCAATTAGCTCCAATAAAGAAAGATACCAAACTGTGGTAGCTGCTGATAAAACTTGTGATGTGGAAATATATCTACGACCTAGGTGGTCTTTTGTCTAATAACCATTAATTGTCTGGTATAGAAATGATAGAAAATAGTAAAAAGTGACATAGGTAGAGTTTGTTAAGCTGTTTCTGTTCAAAAAATGTTTTACAATTGAGAAGCTGTAGGAAGTTATGGTTTGGTAATTGTTATATATGGACAATATTTCAATGTTTACCTAATTTAATTGCTCTAATGATTTCCAATTAAATCTGTACACCGAGCAAGGCCGCAACAACTAATCAAGTCCATCAAAATTGATTATCAAAATAGTTGGCAACTCTTTTCCTTCATCGATTTTTTAGGAGTATGTTATGATGCACAGCCACTTCGCGTGCTTGCATCGTCTCCGCGGGGGCAGCTAAACGACCAATGTTGCGCCTCTTTTTGGGCACGTGATGAATTACCAATAATGATGACGACTCCTTTATGTCTGGAGTTAGTGTTTGAAAAGCGGCAGAGATAAATGACACAGCGGAGAAAAGTGAAGAGGAGCCACGGGATAGCTCATGATTTCAGGATCGAATTGAAAAAAGGACAAAATGGTGGTCCCTGTTCTTTCTCCATTCTGTGGTGGACCAATGTAGTCAGGAACCCCATAAAGCTCTTTTAAAGATAACACTTTATAAAGTTACAGCCTTCTGTATTGATGTCAATTTTGATTGGACTAACTCAAAAGGTTTTTCAAAGCGAGCAGAAAGGTCTAGAAAATCTGGTTAACGGGTCATTCCAGGATGTAAAAATGACTGGTCAGCGGTCAAAAGGGATAGCCGCTAACGTTAAAGCTAGAACGCGTTGGACACTAATGGTTAAATTAAAATTAGGGCCATTCAAGTGTTGGTGCTGGGGAGTCGATTAACCCAGAATAAATACAGTATATGTTGATTTACGACAATATATTGGTCAATAGAACCTTTGCTAGAATGAGATTCTATGGAGAAGAGACATTGAGTTGTCGAACCCGGCTTACTGTAAACATGTGTGAAGTATTTGGTAATTCTATGCAACAGATGATGTGTGTTTGAATGTATTTCATATTTGTGGAGATAATTAGTTCAACCACCATTGATTTCCTAAATAACCACAAACTAAAATAGAAGTAAGCCAAAGTAGGCAAAATCTAAGTAAAATAAGTAGATGTGTGTTTTTATGACTTTGTATGTGGGGATCAAGGTTTTTAAATGATAGGCTGCAGATGCAACACAAATGAAAATAGTATAAAATTAAGATAAATATATATACAAAAAAACTATTCTGTATTTTTTGTATTTACAGTAATCCAATAATCAAACGTTGTCTCCATTTAAAGAAACATCCCTAATTTACAGACTGCTTTTCCAATGAAACATTCAGATGCCTTGAAAACCTGTGACATTTCATGGGCCAACTGTAAACTAGGTATGTGTTTAAAGTAATATTAACATTTATTTATTCTATACACTACTGACTACTAACATCTCTCTGTTGCAATTCAACAGACATAGGAAAGGAAAAGCTACAGTACATGCAGGGATTGAGATTTAAGAAAAATGTTGAGTGGTCTGTTCATTTTTTTCAGATCTGTATGTGTATGAATGTGAGGCTGCAGATCCAACAAAATTGAAAATGGCACTATTTAAAACAGATAGACAAACAGAACAGGTATTCCAAGACACACACTAACTTGAATATGCATATAACTAAATGGAATAACTAACAAATAAGTAAATTCACACCACAAGACTGGAGTATTTTGTTGATGTGTTTGAGATATCCAAGTATACTTGCTTTATTTCCTTAAGTGGAAGTTGAGAAAATAAATGTATATAAGCATTTAGGACCTTTTTTTAATTAATCTTTTAATCAAACCTAATTCCTGTTTTAAGAAAGTACAGATTCCCTCTCAAATTACTCTGATTTTGTGGACTAACTTTAAATTAGACCGTAACAGTATCTAAAACCCTTTTAAATCAAGTCAATTAACAATTAATTTCTGTTTAATTAATTAAACACCTCATGTTGAACACATCACCTTTAAGACTTTGTAATGTATGGTGTGCATTATTTAGTTTTAATGTGGGGCTGTTGAAAGAACACAATTAAAAAAGGGCATCATTTAAAAATAAATATGCAGAAACAGGTTTTCCAAGACAACCAATGGCATGTGTCTTGTAGATATCAAATATGGACTATACAGAATCATATATATGCATTTAAGACTTTGTTAATGTTTTTTCTTACTTAATTAATCTGTTAATCAAACCTCATTTGCGTTTACAGAAACAGTCCTGATTAACGGTTCCCTTTCAAATGACTCATTCAGATGTCTTGAAAACCCGCGAGATTTCGTGGGCTAACTTTAAATTAGACCTAAAGGCATCCAAAACTCTTATAATCAAGTTAAATAACATTTGTAATGTAACCTCATGTGCTATAATCACGGTGGGGGAGTCATGCATTGGGGGGTTGGGGGTGTGGTGACTTTTTGTAGTTTCTCCGCCTTCTTCTGACTTCAGCCAGCAGGGTTCATTTACTGCTAACACTCAAATACCTCCGTTATTCCTCCAATAGCGACATTTTATCCTCTAATACTGCACGTTTTATCGGTGTAAATAGGTAGAAATGTACGTAATTCAATGCAAATGCGATATAACCAGACTACAGCCTCGACATGCCTATTCTGCGCGGCAACAAGATCAAATCCCGAGGCCAAACGCCACCTCCCCCGGTCGGTTTTTTCCCCCTTTTGGTGGGGGGTGTTAGCGTTTTTAGAGCCTCCCCTGGATGAATGGGTAGCCATATTCTCATTCTCAGCCAAGAGAGGGGAAATATATGCATAAGTGGAGCCTTTAAACTGGTTAAATCACACCATGGCCTACATAAGCAGGGAAACAATGCACACATGATGGGCTGGTTTTTAAAAAGCCTGATAGACACGACACACAGCATGGCCACAGCGATGGGATCCATGTTAGAAAAAGAGGGTGCACACACACACACAAGAAGGGAAGCAACACACACGCACATTCCCATTATTTTTTCATGAAATAAACACTATTCCCAGCTTCATAAAAGACACACAGCGCCGTGTGGAGACGTGCATGTTTTCTGCACAGCATTAAGCACAGCACAGGACGGATTTGGCACACCTTACCTTACTGGTCTTGACATTTTGCAGGAATACAGTAGAGGTTAAAGGATGTAAGAAAAAAGGGGGAAGAAGCACACAGGGGGAGAAGGGGAAAAAAAGGAATATAGAGATTCCCGCTCTACAAAAAAAAAACCCCGAGGTTGGAGCACAACTCCACCGTGCGAGCGAGCGCGTAAAAATAAAAGTACTGCACCGATGTGTCCTCCAAACGCTAATATTCTTATTTTTTTGTGCCTTCAGCTACTCAAAATGGTGAATAAAACAAACTGAAACTGCAGCCTATGTGCAACCAAACCCTCGGCCTCGAAGGGGAGGGTCTTCGAAGACAAGCCAAGCCCCCTTCTGGGCTGTGAGAGGAGCGGCGCGGCATTCCGCTCCTCTGATTGGCTGGTTTGAACGACGAGGTTCTTCCCTATTGGTTGATCCAGCTGCACGTTCGAACCCCTTTAGCATTCGGTTCCCCGCCTCCGTTAGCAAGCTCGGTTGCGTTAGCACTGTTAAGAAAACAAAAAGAGGCCCTCAGGTTGGATGCAAACAGTGAATTCAGTGGGTCACTAAATACCATAAAGCAACATTGCAAGTGTGGGTTACAACGTGCACAAACATAATGTAAATATAATGTAATATAATATATTTTAAGGGTCTGATTGACAGTTTTCTTGCTCATACTGAGACTAGCCTTCCTAGACTGCTGCAGCAGGAGGTGAGCTACACAACAGTGGCAATAGCATTACAGGTATTATTCCTCTGTTACATTTTTACAAAATCAGGCCTGTTATTCATCTTTTAAAAGGGTGCACACACAAGAAGGGAAGCACACATGTAAATAAGATCCTACTTTTACATTTTGTTAGCCCTTCATAGTGTTTTTTCTCTCCAGATAATCTACAGATGTTGATCTTTCAGTCAACCTGTAGCCTATATATTTGACTTTTTAGTTCTGTTTTATTTTCTATTCTGAGATGTGTATGTGTTATATTTATATATTTTTTGTGCTATTTCTATTTTAAAATGCTGCTGTTACTGTAACAACAACAAAAATCCCAATTTGTGATCAATAAAGTATATCTTATGCTCTTTATGCCTTTTATTTTTGTAAAGCACTATGAAATTGCCTTGTGTTGAAAGGTGCCTTATCTTATTTTGTACTTAGGAACATTTCCATTATTTTTCATGAAATAAGCATGTGTTTTTATTTGGATGTGATTCATGTGTGCTTGCCTTTTTAAATAATATCTTAGCCTACTCTCTCTACTTTAATCTGCACTGCACATTTGCTGCTGTTATGCCATGAAACTCCCCGATGTCAGATGGATAAAGGATTCCTAATTCCGATATAATGAAATGTAAAACGACATTTCAGAATGCAAAAGTCCCTCAAATCATTACATAAATTGATTATACCACTTTCAGATCTTTAAACTCACCCATTAAAATCCAGATCAACTGCATGTGTCAACATATATTCAGTATTAACTCTGTTCCTGGCCTGGGTTAATGCAGGGAAAGGAGAACTAAAGGGTAAACTGGAGTTTGTGTAATAACTCTAGAATTGAAATACTAACCACTTTTACCTTTATGGAAGATTTTTCTTGAAATCAGAAAGCTTTTAAAATTGGATGCTTAAATTCCATTATTAGGATAATCGTATAATATAGGACAATCATATATAGCCTTACATTAGTAGAGCATGAGAAGTGGATTTAAAAATACAGGAATAGTAACTATGACTCACATATTGTTGCCATATATTTATTACCAGAGGTGGGAGAAGTACTCAGATCTGCAGCTAGTTGTAATGACTTTGTATACTGCAGAGTAGCTTGAGAATTTACTCCAGGTGGAACTAAAGTCTGATTTAACACTTGATTATATTTCACATCATTCATCCACATCTGTAAAGTAACTAAAGGTGGAGTAAAAGTACACAATTTACCTCTGAATTGTAGTGGGGTAGAAGTACTTGAGACAATCTACTTAGTTACTTTTGACCTCTGTTTATTAATCCCTTATTTTTTTTCAAATTAGATTTTCACTTAAATAAGAGTGAAATAACTGAAGGCGTGTGTCCTGTCTTTTGATAAAGCTGGTTGTTTATGTCTCGAAGATTCAAGGCTGTCAGAAAAACAGCATCAATAAAGAATGAGGGTATGACTGCACACTTACTCAAGGCTATAAAGGTCTACAATTGGAGCAAAACATGTTTCTGGCTTTGAGTAAATGTGCATGCGTTATTTTATGATTTGAATAATCATGGCATGACAACATTTCACATCGGAAAAAAACAATACATTACAGATGCATTTCAGTGCATACATGACCTTACATTGATAGATGTGTTTACATTTTTGTTTGGAGTATCAAAACTATTCGTCACAAATGGTACATTTACTGTACTTAAATAACGCTTTATCAGGTCTTTTTCGACCTCAAAGCGCTTTACACACTACGTGTCATTCACCCATTCACACTTCATTCATGCAGAGCAGTAGCACTTTCTCTAGGGAAGCTAACATTCACACACACTCACACACCGATGCTGGAGGAAATTTTAACCCTCGCCATCCAGACAGAATTATTACTGCGACAATGTATTATTTTTCTGTTACAGAAGGTAGTCATTGCAGCACATTAGGACTAATTCAGTGAACTCAATACGCTGCAGATGTGAGGGGATTAGACTTAATGGTTGCACTTTTTCCTCCCAGACTTTCCAACATGCTAACTGTTACATGGTGGCGGGAGTGTGTACCCATTCATGGTGGTCCAAACCTCAGCTCATCCATTCACCCGCCTGATGAACATGCAGCACGTTTATACATTTCCTCCAAACTCAAATCCTCTTTAAGCAGGACACCAGACTCAAAGCAGGAAATACGCCATGTTCATATGGATGCAAGTCTGAATGGACTGGTGAATACCATGTTCAGGACCACACAGGCCACATTATGCTTTTTGGGGTTTTCCCTTCCCTGTAGTGTGTTTTATTGGTCTTTGTGCATGTAAATGGTGTTCAATGGTGTTCCCTCCAGAGGGAGTTTCTCTCTCCCCCCCCCCCCCCGCCCTCCTGCCTGAAACGCCTCCATTGGATTATTTTGTTTACTTCCTAAACATAGTGACATCCATATGTAACACTCCCGCTGCTATTGTCTAGCGCTCCAACACATTGTACGTGATAGGTTAAGGAGTTTGACATCCTCTTAGTGGTTGACCAATCCCAACGGAGCCGGCCAGCTAACCAATCAGAGCAGACTGGGATCTGGTTTCAGACAGAGGGTGAAAAGAGGTGCTGCAGCACAGGCAGTATGAGAAAAATAAAGAGCTTTTTGAACATTAAAGCATGGAGACATGTCTCAGTAGAGACACTACATACTGATATACACCTGAAATGAGGAAAATAGGGCCCCTTTAAACCTTGAGTGTGTGTATAATGAGTTTCTCGGAGGACATAACATTTGAATTGTTATAAAAACATGTAGTTATGCTGCATCATTTTTTACAACAATTCCTGTTGATGTGTGAACACTATGGGTGGAGGTAACCTTTGTCTTTTTGGATTCCAGGTCCACCCACCCGTGTGGTTAGTTTGAGTGGTTTCTGTCAAATTGTAGTCTGCAGAGGGCTTGTTCCAAATGTGAGTTATTCCCATCATGCTGTGCTGGTGTGTGTGTATATGTGTATGTGTGTGTGTGCGTGTGTGTGTGTGTGTGTGTGTGTGTGTGTGTGTGTGTGTGTGTGTGTGTGTGTGTGTGTGTGTGTGTGTGTGTGTGTGTGTGTGTGTGTGTGTGTGTGTGTGTGTGTGTGTGTGTGTCTCTCTCCTGCTTCTTCCACATCGAACAGACTTCTGTCTCCGAGCTTTTGTGAAGATGCTGGAGTGAAGAGAGCAGGTATGTTGCTATGGAAACCAGGGAAAGTGACTCGCCTCTCTGTTCACGGCTGCACAGTTTCCTCCCGATGCTCCTCCGGTTAGATTCCTGCCTCCCTTCATCCTGCCACAATGGGAACATCCTTGAAAGCTGAGAGACATTTTTACAGCCCAGCTCAGGGTTTGATGAGAGACTCACAGAGTGTGTGTGTGCAGTGTGCACCATCACTGTGTTTACATGGAGAGAGACTCACAGAGTGTGTGTGTGCACCATCACTGTGTTTACATGGAGAGAGACTCACAGAGTGTGTGTGCACCATCACTGTGTTTACATGGAGAGAGACTCACAGTGACTACCTAATTGATCCTGGAAATTGGGTTTTGTGACAGTAACTCCATTTGGGAAGGAAATAGTAAGTATGTGCAATTCAAAGATAAAATAAAATAAATATGTTTTTATATAAATGTAAAAACGGTTAGAGTCAAAATGTCTAAAGATAATAATAATAATTGTTAAAGAAAGAAAATACATGTTAAAGATTCATATACACATAGATAACATTAAGATATTTGTATACAAATAACATTTTTAAAGTAAAATGTCCAATACAAAATGTAAATACATAAATAATATTAATTCAAGTTTTATAACAACATCAGAAGTTCAGGTACAAATGTGCACATTGTACGATAGAGTATATATATCATATTTATTTTATATTTTATTATGAATTTTACATACACCAAATTCCGAGATATATGTCTGTTTTTATCACTCAAATCCCACATCAGTCTCGGTCTGCTGAGGTGTTAAGATGTGATTTAACCCTGTTGTAAAATGTTCACTTGCAGCCAGGCATGATCCTTTTCTGACCTGTGCAGCATTGCCACCTTGTGTCTTATTATCAAACTGCATTAAAGCGAGGAGAAAGGCCTGCTAACACAACCTCATGTAACTTAGTTGGTTTGGTATTAGATTTGAGTTCTGAGTGGAAGTTCAACAAATGTGTGAGATTGAGAACAACTCAGTTAAAATCCACGTTGAAAGCTAGATACATGGTTTACTTAATAGGTAGTATCATGTGTTATCTAGCCAGAGGTGGGAGAAGTACTCAGATCTTGTACTTGAGTAAAAGTAGAAGTACTCAGATCTTGTACTTGAGTAAAAGTAGAAGTACTCAGATCTTGTGCTTGAGTAAAAGTAGAAGTACTCAGATCTTGTATTTGAGTAAAAGTAGAAGTACCAGAGTGTAGGAATACTCTGTTACAGTAAAAGTCCTGCATTCAAAATGTTCCTCAAGTAAAAGTATAAAAGTATTATCATCAAAATATAGTTAAAGTAGCGACAGTAAAAGTACTCATTGTGCAGATTGGTCCATTTCAGAATAATATATATGATATGTTTTATAATTATTGATCATTAAAGTGTTCT